AAGCGTGCCGGTACGGAGCCAGAGGCTGCGCTCCTGCTGTTACAGGGTGTCCTGGAGAAGTCCTCCTGCGTTGCCAGGCAGGACCAGGCTCCCAGACCATTGTCCCAAACACCCGCTCCGTCTGGGCAGGAGGGCCCACAAGCCTCGGAGGTCGAGTAACTCGAGGCATCGGTGCGCTTCCCTGCGCCTGTCCGCCCCTCCCGACACCCGTGTCCATGTGCCGAGCACACAGCGAACCGCACCTTCGCTTTGCGGGGCACAGCAGAGCCTGGAGGCAGCCTTCCCTCCAGAGGCCTCTGTCTCCTGAAGCGTCAGCCCCCAGCGGCGTGGGGCCTGCTCGCGCACCAGCCCCCCTCCCAGGGAAGCACGCCTGTCATAGAATCACAGAACCATGGAGGTTGGAAAAGACCTCTAAGCTCATCGAGTCCAACCGTCACCCCAACACCACCGTGCCTGCTAAACCGTGTCCCCAAGTGCCACATCTACACATCTTTTGAACATCTCCAGGGATGGCAACTCCACCACTTCCCTGGGCAGCCTGTTCCGATGCTTCACAACTCTTTCAGTAAAGAAATTTTTCCTGATATCCAGTCTAAACCTTCCCTGACGCAACTTGAGGCCGTTTCCTCTCATCCTATCGCTAGTTACTTCAGAGAAGAGACCAACGGGACTCGGCACACCAAGGGGCAGCCAGCGCTGCCTGCTCAGGGGTCCCTGAGCAATAGGAACGGGTGGGCAGACTGGGGCAAGCTGTGCTCCCTCCCGCATCGCGGAGATGCTCCAGTTCCTCTCCCCATTCCCGTGGCAGTTCCGCAGGGCAGGGCTTCCAAGCCTGCCAGCTCCTCTGCTGCTCTCACCGTTCCCGTTTTCTCCCCAGTGTGGCGACAGCGTCGTGGTCGTGCCCACCATACCTGACGAGGAAGCCAAGAAGCTCTTCCCCAAAGGAGTCTTCACGAAGGATCTCCCGTCGGGCAAGAAGTACCTGCGTTACACCCCGCAGCCGGAGTGAGCGGGCCTGCCCACCCGCCCCGCTGGGCTGCAGGTCGCTCGGCGTCGGGAGCCTTCCCCGAGCCAGGCTCCGGCCTTCCTGACACCACGCGACCGGCAGCCCCGTACCGTTACGTTCACCGACGGAGCATCGCACTAAACCGATCCTCCCCGTCCCTTTCATCCCTCTCATCCCCTCAAAACTAAAACCCTGGTGTTTTCTTGCCTTGAATCAGTTCTGCAAGAGGTTAGCAGACAGGTGGGGTCTCCTGGGCTGGCGCTGTGGTCTCTCCTGTTCGGCACTGGCCGAGCTTTTCCCGGAGGCACGGCGAGAAGCGTGGTGTCAGCAGCCAGGCCCTGGAGGAGCGACCTGCTGGGCTCACGTCAGGGAGCTTCGGGGGCTCCGAACTGCCGTGTGCCTTTTGGAGCAGCTGTCACTAATGCATTAACACCTCTGCCTGGTCCCGCGCGTAGGGGAGGAGCTGCTGAGCCAAATCTCTCACTTCTTACTGCTTCTTGTCTCTTGCTGGAAGTTGATTGTTTTCAGGTTTTGTGGAAGGGGGAATAGAGCAAATAAACTGATTTTCAGTGCTACCTGCAGTATCCCTTGTCTGCCTCTGCCAGCGTCCCCAGCACCGCTTGCTGTGTTCCCTCGGCCACGCCGCTGCGATGTCTGCCCGTGCTCGTGGGTGGACGGCAGCGGCACAGATGGCCCTCGCTCTTGCTCTGTAAACCAGGCACTGCGCAAACGCAGGTTGGCCCAGGGCATAGTCTCAGAGGAACACACTGGAAGCGATGAGCTACCCTCCAGCATCCCGCAGGCCACGATCCTGGGGCAGCACCCGCACCCGCCTGGGACGCGGCCCGTCAGTGCTCGCACACCGTCCAGAGTCGCTGGTTTCTCCCAGCACCATCGCTGTCCTTCACCCCAGCCTGCAGGCCAGGCCACCCCGCTGAGGACATCCTTCCCCAAACATGGCTGCGTTTCGGAGAACTCCCTCTTTCATTACCAAAACAAAGGGTTTATATTAATACTTAATTGCCCCCAGGAACTATACAGTGAATATTTTGTGTTTTTCCCCAGATGACTTTTAAATGAACCTTTTGTTACGAAATTCTGCATTATCCCCATGTATTATTCTTACTAGAAAACAAAATCACCTCATCTCTGGATTGACTTTTGCCCCCGTCTTTCACTCTGCAAGAAGTGGGAGGGGGATCTGCCAGTTCAAAGGGGAAATACCCCTTTTCTGTCTAGTTTTTCAGCCTTATCAAGCGTAGGGCAGAAGAAAGCATCTTCCCTAGGGCCGGGCTGCAAGAGCTCCTGGGTTCCTTGCCTGTCCCTCTGCACCCAGCCCTCGCCTTGATCCAGTTTCCTAAGGGAAACAGGGCTGCCCACCCCCCTTGCCAGAGCTTTCCAACCAACTGCACAGCCGCACGGCAAGCTTTGTGCAAACAGGCTGCTCTGAGCACCCCCAGGGAAGGGGCACAACCACTCTGGGATGCTGGAGAAGCCACCTGCGAGTCAGTACAAGGGGGACTGAGTCCCACCGCCAGACCCAGGGGCTTAAAGCTGGTCCCACCGCTGAGCCAGGCAGGGGCTGACGGCCGAGAGCCCATGGATTCCTGCCTGCTCCCCTGCACCGCCGTGCAACCCAGACGGACACAAGCAAACACAGGGTTTGGTTCCAGTACAGCTCCAGTGCTTTTCTTTTAATCCCAGAGAAGTGAAATGCAACATTTGTTCGAGTTGGTAATAACATCCAGAGACAGAAGTCCAAGCCCCCCTACTTGGTAAAGTCATTTGTGTTTAAGGCACTCTGCAAAACCAGCTTTCTCTTCTCCTCCTTCCGATTTTCCCCACGCGGCAGCAGAATACCTGGTGTGGTCTTTTCTCCACAGCGACACCCACCCGTCCTGGCTCTTCTCACCATCTTTGGGA